ATCAAAGGTGCACTTAAAGGGTTCAGAAATACTCTCTTCCTTTTTGTATCACTTGGAGCCATAGGGTCCAGAGAAGGTTCATTCCATGAAAGGAATTCCCTTTAAAATTCTCATTTAAGGAGGTGGGAACACCGCTAAGATTTACGGAGTTATCAAAAAAAGGTGTATTACCATACTTACTATGCTCTTCAAGGCTGCTCATATTCTTACAATTCCTCCTATTTATCATCTCTTGTAAATGAAAAGATCCAATTTTGGAGATATTTCCCCTAAAGGGTACACTAATTTGAGGACACCCCTTAAAATTAACAAAATTTTGATTATTTGCGGTGGTTATGTGATTAAGACGGGTAGCAGCAGTGGTATTGGTGATCTGTGCCTTACTCATCCCTGCGCTAATTTTTTGTGGATGAGCTATCACCGGTGGGTTTTTACCCTTTTGGTTGTTAATAAACGTACCTTTTAGTATTCTCTGGGGATAAACATTCTTAGTGGGATTAGAGAGGTACAGACTATTATTCAGGGTCTTCATTTTTATGGAGCAATTCGGATCTCCACTAAAATATGCCTGCTCTACATGAGAATATCTCCTTTCTTGCACAGAAACAGGTCCCGGACCTATCCCCACATCAGAGAATCTTCTCTTTGTAAAGCTATCAGCCAAGGAATTTTGTACATATCCGCTACTGAAAAGAAGAGCCTTATCGTTTGACGGATTAGTTCTAGACATGCCATTAGGAAATAAACCATCCTTTGATAAATTTTTATTGCTTGTCAACTTCCCTTCAAAAAGATGCTCCTTATCCACACCTTTACCATACCTAGAGAAAGAGTTTACACAAAAGTTTGTGGTATTTACATTTCTCTTAGGAGCGTTAAAACAAAGATTAGAATCATTCTTCATCACATTATTTACACTTCCATATAAACCATTTAATCTATTTGCATATCCACTAGTAGACGTGGTACCACCATTTAAACTTTCCTTATAGGGCCATACCTCCTTCTCTTTATCAACCTTTGTGTTAAAATTGCTATTCACCTCATTGTTCATCTTTAAATTATTTCCCATCTTTACTTTCATTATTTTATCATTCATATTCCTAAGATACTCATCTCTAGTACTACTTTTCTCATAGCTCATCTGCTCGGCTTTAATAGCAGCCTCTCTTATATTCCCAACAGAATGTTTACCAAAAAGCGAAGATTCCTTTAGATTAGAGTACAACTTTACCAATAACTCCTTTCTCTCTAGAGGTGTTAAGTTTAAGTTTCTATTGTTAAATGTTCCATTTTCATTAGAATTGTACATATCTACTTCAATCCTCTCTTCTCTCCTTAAGCTTCCCTTTGTTTTATTTTTTGAATGTTTTATGGTGTACACAGCCAATGAAAATAAAAGGTTAGGTTAAAAAGGAACTCTTAAGATAAAACCAAATTTTTTAAATTATTTTATTGTCATAAATCACAGTTTTAAAGAGATCTAAGTCCTTGTAGATCATTGACTTGGAAAAGATTTTGTAAATATTCCTTAAATCCACTTTTGTGTCCTTGGAGCTTAGAAAAATGATCTTTACATTTGTTAGAGAATGAAAGAGTGATAGTCTGAGGTTATCCACAGTTGTACTTAAAAATGTCTCTTTATAGAAATTTTTACTAGTGTTTACCAATGCATCACATAAATCTATGGTTAATCTATTTATAGAAATATCTTTTAAGTTACTATATAGTACCTTATTATCTTTTAGGATTATTAATAAATTCTTCATCTTCTTGGGTTGAGGTGGATTTAAAATTTTATTTTATTTTGGGGAGGGGTGACAGCATCTCTTTCTAGAATTTTCCTTTTAACTCTAAGGGAAGGTGTATATCAGCTCTCACTTCCTCTTTTTTGCCTCTCTTTTTGTTTATGCAAATTTTTTATTTAACTGGAGGGATTTTTCCTTTTATTAACCCTTTATCGTATGATAGATAACTTAACGGAGCGTTCGACAAATCAGAAAGTGGTTGAATATGATGTAATTGGTATATTACAATTAATAATTAATCAAAATAATACCGTTATAGACCAATTACAGTGGTATTCTTTTCCTTTTTTAGAAATAAAGTTTTAACCCCCTCAACATGAGCGACAGAAAAAGAAAGAACTTAAAAAAAGAAAATATTGAGGAGGGAGATTACCAAGAGAAATATCCACAAGAAAACTTTGTAGATCAATACCAGAAAATGATAAATGGTGAAAATGAGGAACAATATGTACCATATCATGAAATGCCGTATACGGAAAGGTACCAAGAGAACATACCACCAGAAGGATATAGTTATGATGAGAATGGATATCGTGAAAACAATTACAATAGTGGATATGGGCCCTATCCATATCCCTACGAGTATGAGAGATGTCCCACGAATGGGACTAACTACGCTGAGTACCCACCTTATATGGATTATCAGTCAAAAAGAGGGGTCACTTCATCTCCTCATGGATATAGCATGGTTCGGGAAGAGTCTCCCGAGTCAACTCCTTCTAAGCCCTTGGATTCTGACTCGTATGAGGAAAAGAAAACAAAGAGATGTGGGAGGCAGAAAATAACAATGAAGTATATTCCTGAAAAATGTAGAAGGAGCGTAACCTTTAGTAAGAGAAAGAAGGGAATAATGAAGAAAGCCTTTGAGTTAAACGTTCTGACTGGAACTCAGGTTTTGTTACTCGTTGCGTCTGAGAGTGGTCATGTCTATACCTTTGCTACGCCAAAACTCAAGCCAATTATTTCGAACCACGAAAGGTTGATCCAGCAGTGTTTAAATGCTCCGTGTACGCCAGAAGAGGAGAATTATAGCTTTAATCAAGGAGATGAGAATATGAGATTTGAAGACAAGGAGAAGTATTGTAAAAGGGATGGCTCCCATGGGAGTCAAGGATACAACAATTATTATAGTGATGAGATATGAAAGGTGAAAACAGGCTTGTAGGAGTACTACCTACTTCATTAACCCTAGAAAGGGACATCTAGCCCTTGGTATTAAATAAACCTAACTTTGGTTTGATTTTATTTTAAGAAAACCAAATGAGGATCAAGGGGATAGCCCCTAAATTTAAATTAATAACTTTTTATTTTTAATTGTAAAATATATCTCTACTCCCTTTTTTTTCATCTAGGTAAGAATTTATCAATCTCATGAGGGTGTCTTGGGAATACGGCTTAATTAGAAGTTGGTTAATTCCCATTTTGAGATAACTCGATGCATCATGCTTATAAGACTTCTCTGATAAGAGTATCACTAAAATCTCTTGGTCTATCTGCTTGACATACCTTATAGCGGAGATGAAGTTTGTTATTAAGAAACTTACCATAAAAACATCAAATCTATCAGTTTTTAGGAGTTGTCTCATCTCATTTTCATTATTTACCACAACAGAGGTACATCCCATCTTTTTGAGAATTGCTGTGGCGAATTCACCACAGGTCATGTTATCTTCAAAGATTAAAACTCTTAATTTTGGGTTGGTCTGAGCTCTACTAGTGAGAATGTAGCTTTTTAGGCTGTTGAGATCCTCTGTTATGTCTTGGAAATATCTTGTTATGGCTCTGAGTGTGTTTATGGTTTGGTTTTGAAATGCAATATTTGGATCCTCTGTGTACAGCCCTAGAGAGCTTCTATGCGATCTTTCACTTGAAGATCTCTTTCTTCTGATATTTCCTAGCAGCTCCTTTCTGTTCTTTTGGAACATTTCATTTCTAAACTCCCACACCTGTGTCCCAAATGCCTCAAAAATATTCTCATCACTTTTTATCTTGTGAAAATCGTACTTATTGAGCTGACGCACAAATGAGCTGATGTTCCCATGCTTGAAATGATTCAATAGAACATTTCTTGTGAATTCTTGTGGGTTTATGATTAGAAATGACTTTCCTTGGTTGCGACTATTCCATCTAATCCATTTTTCGTTAGAAAGATCTTCTAACATACAATAGAGCTTTTCCACAAATTCTGGATTATTCCTATGCATTCTTAGGGTTTTTTCTCCTCTTTTTATTTTATATTCCAGGTTAATTTATTTCGTTCTTTTGTTTATATCAAAGGTTTACATTTTTATCCTTTTATGGAATAATTCCATACTTTGACATTTTGAAATGAAAATTCCTTTAAAGATGACATTAAATCTCTTGCTAGAAGGGTAGTAATTGATAAATTAAAGTAAAAGAGTGATAAACGAGGAAATTTCCAGGATTTGACCATTTTGTGAGAATTTAAATGAAGTTAACTTAAAAGCATTCTTTTTTATTTTATAATCTTCCTTCCAGGGACTCTTTTCTTGGTTATGTCTTTCTAAGTGACCTTCTTCTTCATTTTATTTTTACTTTTCTCTACATCTCTCCTAACACTCTTGGACCTTCCAGTGATACATCTACTAGCTAAAAAGGCAAAACCACCGCCAATTAATATGGCAACTAGAAGTATTAAAATGGAAGAGAAGGGACTTTCCATAAAAAAACTTTTCAATTCCAAATAGTTCCTCCACATTTTCTGTTAAAAAGGGGGGAGAGGGTTTTTAACTTTTTGTTTAACAAATCTTTCTTCTCATTTGTTAACTCTAAAACCAATAGAAGAACCAAACACAATAAAATCAAGAGATACAGACACCAAGTAGCTTTTAATATTTCATTTTCCTTGTACTTGGTTCTTTATTCGTTACTTTTGTGGATATCCCTTGGGAATGGAAGAGGTAGTGAGAAATTCAAATATTTTCGTAAAATTATTCAAAAGAAACCTTCTAAGAGAGTTAGAGAGGAACGTAGAACTAAAAAATGATATTTTAAAGATAGCAAGGGTATTAAAACCACTGGTTAATACAAATGTTTTACTTCCCTTAAAACTAGCAGATCTGTTAATAAAGAGGACATTCCTTAACAACTTTAACCTTTCCTTTCCAGAACCACCTTGGAATAAGAAATTTAGATCTGTAATTGAAGGGAAGGTTTCTATTCCACAGTATTATGGGGGAATATCATTGGATAAATCGAGATACGATAAAAAGATGTTACTAAGACCAGTGGTTTGTTCTACTCTTACCTTTTACAAACCGGGCTTTTTAAAAACCTTAAAATTTAACTTTTGGAGGCTAAAATTTAAAATTTCTAAATTTCTAAAATTAAAGGAAGAGTGTATAATAAAAGAAATAGAAGAGGTAATAATCCCATCAGTTCTCTCTGATAATTTAACTTTCTTGTGTGAAGAGTCTTTAATACAATATGAAGAGTTTCTAGAATTTATTTTGAAGAGATATCCATTTGGATATGTTAGATGTACAGATATAAGAAATCTGGAATCGAGTGGAATTGAACACTTAGATGGTGAATTTATAGTAAAAGCGAGTTTTGACACACAGTTTTCGGTTAATGGTAAAGAACTCTTCAATTTTAGCAATTTTCTCAAATTTTCCAATTCTGAGTTTGATACCAAGGAATGGAAAGTTAAGGAGTTTCAGTGGAGTGAAGCCTCGTACTAAGAATAATAAACAAGAAGTGTTCGATTAAAACAACATAGAAGCTTTAATTATCCGTTTTACTCTACCATTCTCTTTCCTTTATTTACCTCCCTCCATTCACGAGCTCTTCAATGCCAATGTAAATACCCAAGGCACCTAGGAAAAGATTAAACACACAAAATAGAAGGGAAATGGTGGAGTATCCATGCCTTCTCTGAAATTTTAAGTAAGACCAAGTGGGTAGAATGAACATTACAAAGGAAGCAAAAAAGAAAAATAAAACAAAGAAGGAAGAGAGATGTTTAGCAGCTAGAGCAAGGAAAAAGCAAGTGGTGATAATAAAAATAGACTCTATTGAATCCACCTTAAATGAAGATTCTACCACTACAACTTTGTTTATGAGATAGTGGAATGAACCTCTCAAAGGTGCCATCAAGAGAGGGGTGGTTAAAACATTGACAGAGCTAAGGCAAAATATTATAATATCATGCACTATCTTACTTCCTCCGACACCACCGTTAAAATACTCTTCATTTGGAAAGGGGTTGGCTATACATCCAGCTATCCCCGTTAGGATGTAAATAAGGGCAGAAAGAATATTTGCAATAACTATGACACGTGTGGGTCCTTTCATATCCCCAGGAATGTTACTTGTGATGGCTAGAATACTAAAATGAGAACAAAACCCAAAGACCACATTGCTGATGGATTTAAGGTTATCCTTTCTTAGCTCAAAAAACTTCAAGTCTTCGATTCTTCTCAGATCAGGAAGAGATCTTTTGAGTAGATAGAGAGTAAAGAAAAGAATGGAGAGCATACCA